TAATTCCATTTTGGCCTTGTATGCTTAGATCGCCGCTGGCATTTTTTCAAACTTGCTTTTCTTATGTTAAACCTCTTTATTAATTGCAAATAAATGTTTATCTTTTAATTTTGTGTGATTGGAGGCTTAAGTTTACAAATGGTATGGTGAAAAAGAATGATGAATCGAAACAACACATCCAAAATTTTATAATTAAAAGTAATCCCAGGCAGCATGCATTCGTAAATTGCACGAGAAAAATACGTGCAATTTACGAATGGCCTTTCGTATAAAAAACGTTCAAGTTGAACGTAAAAATATCATAAAAAGTGTCCAGTGGCAATTACTAAATATTTACGTATATTTTTACGTTTTACTATACGTAAAATTTAGGTATATTTACGCGAGACTACTGTTCATTCGCAACTTTTACGTATAATATACGTAAATTTCAGGGATTTACGTATATTTTTAGTAAAAATTTACGTATATTTATCGCATATACGTAAATCTAAATTTTTTTTGTTTCACGTATGCGTATATATTTAGTCAAAATTTACGCAAATTTCCCCGATTTTTTACTGTATATAAACGTATATATTAGGTAAAAATTAAGGTAATATTCCCCGTATTTTACGGTACAAAAACGTATATATTTGATAGAAATTAACGTATATATTTCCCGTAATTTACGGTACAAAAACGTATATATTTGATATTATTGACCTAATCTTCCCTATGTTTCTTTTGCATATGCGATGACTGGTAAAAATTTTAATCCGATGTATTCTCCATTTTACTGTGTATAAATGCACATTTTTTTGGTAAAAAATTTCCATAAATCTCCAATAACGTTTTCACTGCATTTTTCATAAAATGTACTTAATTAATCTCATATTTTTTATAATCTATGCAAAAACTTTCTGTATGCTATGATTAAAAAGGTAAAATTTTTTATATCAAATTCTTACATATCTGCCTTTTTATGTACAGCAATATGGAATATATATAACTGGAAAATTTAAATGCACTAGTAAATGCAAAAATAAATAAATAAATTTCTATTAAAAAATTACGTAACACTTAAAGGCTGAAAATGACTTTTAATATTTCATTTCAAAGTGACTACAAAATATGCAATAAATTTCGTAAACATCAATTCTGTGTTTTAAATCAATTAATGCTATCGTTCATTTGCATTTTTGTTTACTATATCCATTTCATAAATTTAAATTTAGTAAACAACTGTAGCAAACAGTTGTTTACTAAATAACACTTAAATAAATTATTTGCTTTTCCGAAGGACATTTTCTTATGCCATGTAAATGAACGATAGCATTAATTGATTTAAAACATAGAACTCCGGTTTACAAATTTATTGCATATTTTGTAGTCACTTTAAATGAAATATTAAAAGTGATTTTCAGCCTTTTAGTGTTATGTAATTTTTTTGCATAGAAATTAATTTTTTTGCATTTAAATTTTCCAGTTATATATATTCCATATTGCTGTACAATACCTAAAGGTGGATATGTAAAATTTGATATTAATTAATTTTATCTTTTAATCATAATATGCAGAACATTTTTGCATAGATTTATATAAAAAATAAGAGATTAAAATAAGCACATTTTACGAAAAATGCAGTAAATAGGTAATTGGAGATTTATGCAAATTTTTTACCAAAAATGTGCACTTATACACAGTAAAGAGAAGACATCAGACTAAATTTTTACCAAAGTCATTCGTATATGCAAAGAAAACATAGGGAAGATTTAGGTCAATTATTATCAAATATATAAGCTTTTGTTCCGTAAAATACAGAGAATATCTATGTTAATTTCTATCTAAAGTACAATATAGTTAATTAACAAATTCAGTAAACGAATGTAGCACAAAAGAAAACATCATACGTTTAGATTATTTGAATGAGTGTGCTAAATTTTAAAATTGTTAAATATAGACCAGGAAATTGTAGAAAACTTACCTTTTCCAATAGTTTACCAAGTTGACGTTGTTATTTTCCTTGAAGATGAATGTTTAATGTCACAAATACTATTTCATTCATATCTTCAGGTAATACACAAATATATACATATTTATTTATTAAAATTCAGTTTATCCCAAACATGTTAAAGAAAATATTAATTTGCATGCAAGTTAATCGAGTAACTTCTGTTTTAATTACACACATAATTATGATATGTAAAAATTTTACATTTATCAGTCATCTTGCAATGTATTGTAATCTATTATTGTGTCTTTCTCAGTTTAAAATCTTATAAATATATTAGATCAGTACTAAAAGTTCACCTCTACAAAAGAAATGCTTTATTGAGGTATTTTTAAAAAGTTCCCTTTTACAATGTAACTGTTAATTTCATAATTTCATAAAATTATGCAAATTCAAAATTACCTAAATATGTTCTTTATTTTATCTTATATACCAGATAAAAATTTAAAAAGTTAATTTGTTTAGGAATATTGAAGTTTTTAAATATTTATCTCATGTGACTTTTTCTATAACATCATTATAAATGTACATGTTGATGTGGACATACCAATTATTTTTTTTTCATCAAATAGCTTTATGGTATTAAATGATTTAAAAAGAGGCAACTGGACAAAAGAAAGCAATTAGAAGTTGGCTAATTTTTTATTAATTTGTTGTCAAATGCTGTGCATTTTAGATTATGCTCATATGATGACAATGAGTTATTTAAATTATAAAATTATTATGAACATATCCCACATAAATTAACAAGTATAAAATTTCAAGTTGTTTGAAGTATTATGAACTGTAATACTTGCAAAAGAAATACACATGAAATTAATTTAAGAATTAGGTTTATTTTACAGGTATTCGAAAACTGCAATTACTGTTAAAACAATAAAAACTAACATTAAATCTGAAGAGCATATTTTTTTCAATAATAAAATTCAAACATAGACTTCATATGCAGCTTCGCCATATTTGTTCTATAGTTCGCTGTCTTTAATATCCTGCTCGATTTTTGTAAAAGTGAATTCTTTGTCACCCAATGTTTTTTGAGAACAGCTCCTAAACAAGAAAAAGAAAAATTTGTAATAATTTCACACTTCAGATGTTTTCAGTTTTTAAATATAGTTGAAGTATTAAAAGATGCATATAAAATGCACTGAGTATTTCATATTTAAAAATTTACATTTCAGTAATTAAAAATTTAAATTTCATACTATCACACAGTAAGCTTTAATTATATACCTTACACAATGCCTATAATTTCAAGTAAAAAATACTTAAGATTTGTTTAGAACTGCAAGGTTGAGAAAGTCTTTAATGGCTATGTTTGTATTTAAGTACATGAGAAAAAACTTAATTTTGTATTAATTATATTGCATTAGCCTTTTCAATTTTACTCCTACATATAGTAAAGAATATTCGCTTTCTTACAGATAACTTTTTTTTCTTAAATAAAGAGTAAGCAGAAAACTAATCACAACACTATATACATATAACAGAATACTTCATAAACATATACATGTCATTAACATACGTATATGCATTAACAGGCTATTTTTACACATTTCAATAAACCAGAAACCAATACACAATCAAAAGTATTATCAGTAAATTCCTCCAAAATCAGAAGCAAAAATCTTTAATTATGATAACAATGGCATCTCAGTTTGCAATATAAAATATTTCAAGTCTACATTCATGTGCATTCTAAGCAAACAGAAAGCTGAATAACAATAAAATTATAAATACCATAAAAAAGTTAAAGAGCCACGTAGAATGATAGCAAGACTAAATGAAGTCTTCCTTCAAAAATCAATTTAAATTCAAAAATTTGCCTTCCTGTTTAACATCTCAAAATAGGGTTTACTGCTTTCACTAACTAAATTTCCTGTCTTGGCAAAATAAAAATTGTCACTTCTGTTGCAGGAAATATTTGCTGCAAACTTTGTATGCAAATAATCCAATGAAAAAATTTTAATTGTGGCTTGAATATTTTCTTTATTAAATAAATGAAAAATTCCCACATATTAATTTATGATCCACATGAAGCTTTTTACCTCTACCATATCATGCAGCTATTTTAAAATATATACTCTCATATAAAAGCCACAGAATTTTTTTACCAATATTAATATAGTATAAATCATTAATAAATCTTCTAAAAAACAGCCCCCAAAATTTCTGAATTTGATACCCAAAACATAATTCTACGTAACTGTTAATGTATGCATTTGCTTGCACATACTTAAAATGAATTATACACACAAAAACTTAACATATTAACTTTAATAAATTCTTAATTAGCAGGATGACTCAATTAAGGCAAAATATGAAAGAAATCTACCTGATGGAATAGTTGTAAAAGATATATTTAAAAAAAGCTAAACTAATATTGTTTACCTTACACATGGCAGAAATTGAGTAAACTGTATGCAGCTGGATTATTTATTAGGAATAGAAGTTAGATCAAAGTACCAAAGTCACACTGGACCAGGGCTTTAACCATTTGGGTGCAAAGAAGCATCTCAATTTAAAAAAGAATAATTTAAAAAAGCTATATAGAATTTTTTTATAATTTTTACAATCTAGTACAAATATTAGACACATAAACAACACTAAATGCCATTATTTACTTGCATATTTTCCTTCTTTGTGTACTTTACTCCTTAATTTTTTTTTTTCAGGATATGATTTAGAAACAGAGTTATGGTAAAAATGTATACTGGTAAAAAAAAAAAAAAATATTGCTGAAACTGATAAAGTCCTTTGAATTATATACTATAGTGCAAAGAGGGATGGAATATGTGACTAAATATGATAAATCAGATTACAATAACATTAAACAAATAACATGAAAAACTGAAAAAAGAAATTTTATTTGAAATTATTTTTAAACTCATGGAAAGACAGACAGTATTTCCAACTTATTAATTCAATTAATTATATTTTACCTTCGTCAAACCAATATTGGTAAGAGAGTTGTATTTAAAATCGGTGCTAAGCTAAAAGCTGCTTTCTTGCCTAATTTTATACTATTGAAAATACCGGTAATTGTCAAAGTTATTCGTACTCAATATGTGTAAGATTATTAATGAGCTGCCAAACCGCAGTTAACCATCTAATATACTACATTCAACATTATTATTTTTCTTTTTGAATGTCAGGTTTTCATTATTTCTGCCAATATATCTGTAACAGGACATAAAGATTGAGTTAATGTAGAATAGAAAATTACCTTGCAAGTTAGCACCTTTACCTTAGTGGCAGTACTTCATTCTCTAGAAAAAACATTTTAAATTATTATACTTAAACAAAAAATTCATATTTTGTTACAGCAAAACATCATTAACACAATAAACCAGAGTTGAATGCAAATCTAATTTAACTCCATTCTTGAAAACTAGTTTATTACTTTCAATTTAATTTTAAAATAATAAAAAATAAGGTACGTATTATGATGACTACCTAGATATCTCGCCTAAACTGGCAATCCTTGTAGGTTATACAGGTTAACCCTAACATAGGTTATAGAGGGCACTAAGATAGAGAGTATTAATCCCACACTAGGGACTCTTAACATTTGGTAGGAACAGTTTGAAAAGTGAAACAGATATTTATAGTGAACCAATGCAAAACAAAAACAATAGTTCTTTAGGGACAAAGCCCCTTTGGACTAATAAATACGAGTAAATTAACAGCTTTTAGCTATTTTTTCTTCTTGTAAAAAATAGACATACAGAATATTTTTAGAAAATAACAGTACTTTAAGCATGCATTTTCCACATATTTAACACAATAATTCATTCTAGCTCTGTTGCAATACTGGCAAAGGTACTCTCCTCTGTTATTAGGACGGGATTCAGAAATGTACAATGAAACCTCGAGATACGAGGAAAGTATGAGCAAAATACGAGCATTAATTCGAGTAACGAGCAATGAGCCAGGCTGTTGGTATGGGTGGGCGCCATTTCCCTATCCGGCTCAACTCGGGGAATCCCCTCGTCAGATCACTCAGTGTTCTTTTATATACGTGTTTGTGCACTTGTAAGTTAATTGTTTTGACATTTAACGTGAAAATAATTATTTCAAGATGCCTCGCAAGAAGATTGTTGCCTCAGATAGTGCTGCAAAGAAAAAATAAGGAGGCCATGGCCGTCGATATCAAGAAAGAAATCATAGATAAACATAAGCATGGTGACAGAATTGGCGAAGACTTGCGGCCTTTCAACATCGAAAATCTATACTATTCTGAAGAAGCAGGAAGAAATTAAGAAACCTGATGTAGCCAAAGGAATTATCGTTGCTTCCAAGCACCATAAAAGTACTCCTAGATATTGAGAAGCTGTTGTTGGTGTGGATAAATGAGAAGGAGTTAAAATGTTGGTAACAAAGTTAAACTACGGTTATATTATTTACAAGTGTTATTTATTAGGAAAAATTGACTTGATATTAAAATGTTGATATTTTTTGGGGTGTGAAACGGGTTAACTGAATTTCTGTTATTTTCAATGGGGAAGCTTGTTTCTAGATACGAGAAATTCACTATACCAGTTGAATGCTGGAATGAATTAAACTCGTATCTCGGGGTTCCACAGTAGATATGTAAGCATGTGTATATGCATGTATGCGCATATGTGTGTATAAGTATACACATACATACATAAAGAATATACACATGCACACATGAGCACCTACATTTAAAAATGCATGCATATAAACACACACTTCTGAATCTGGTCCTGATAACAGAAGAATACCTACATGAATCATAGGATTTACATTATCATTATTAAATTCTTAAATGCAGATTTACATTAATCAGTTTTATTAGAATTTTAAATGCAGAGATTTACATTAATTCTTAAATGAAATCTTCACTATCCGAAAATTCAGTTTCATTTCCAGCTGAAAAACTGTATCAGGACAATCTCATTTATATTATTTCCCTCTAACAACTGAACATTTTTGAAAACCTTTTCTATTCCATGGAAAACTAATGCTACATTAAACATACATATTTTCTAAATCTGAAAATTTTAAGTTAGCTTAGAAACTGTAATCATTCTTAAAAAAGTTTGATTTATGCAGATGTTAGATCAATAAAATTACTTTCCTGTGAAAAAGTAATATGGCATTGAACAACACATGATTTTACACATCAAGATATACTGAGTGAAAATTCCTGAAATGTTTTATTTCTTGGTATCTCTGCAAGAATTGTATAAATAAGACTACTACCTCCCTTTTTTTAAAAAAAAAAAATGTTTAGTAAATACTATGAAGAAAATTGGTTACATTATTACAGTTCATAATTAATAGAAAATAAATCATTTTTTCTTAGCTTATCAGAATTTATTTTTATCACATTCATAAACAGTACTAATTTAAACAAACATACCATTATGATTTCAATAACTATGAAATAGAAAATCCAAATCTGCATCTTTGATGGTCTAGTAGATTGGACGTCTTCGTTTACTACAATTCAGCAGGGTGCTGACTCCCCAGACTGTAATATATATATATAATTAATTTACAAGGGAAAAAGCAACAAAAATATAAACAATTTCTTGGTTTTATATAAGCATTTCTGCACATTTACAATTTTAATTTTTTTTAACTATCTAGTTATATCAAAATACATGATTTAGTAAAATATAATTCAAATAATTTAAGGTATTTTAGATCAAATACTAATTTTTCAATAAATTTTTTCATGCAAGTCTAATAATCAACATAACTATCAAGTTTTGACTTCGAAAATTATGTTTAGAGAAACCTTGAAGCTGCAGTAAATAGTAATAAATTTATTCAAAACTGAAAGTAAAGCATTCTTACTTTATTTTCTTTCTTTAACTATGGCAGATCTTTTAAAACAACAAAATCAAACAAACAAAAAAGAAATGCATTCATGAAAGGACTTAGGACTTACTTATTATTCATGAAAGGATATATTTCAGTAATTACAAGTGCATAAAAATTCAGTATATATATAAAAAAAAAAATGAACACAGATTTGGAACAAAGTACCTGTGTTTCTATGGCATAAAATTTCCTTTTTTAATAGCACAATATCTTTGAGTTAAAGATTATATATTAAAGCAAATTTATAAAACTAAATTCAAAAATAAGAAATTAAATTATTTTTAGGGAAAACACTAAGCAAATAAAAAATTTTGAATTTCATAAATAAATGAAAGTTACATGCTTTATTTTTTGGCATAAGGTAGATAATATTTCCATAACAGATTTCTGAACAATTAGTCATGTTAATATTGCCTTTCTTTTTCCATTAAAAGCTAGTATTTCCTGCTTAATTACAGTATGCTTTAAGATAAATATTAAAACGTTTGAGTAAAAATAATATAACTATAAAAAGGTGAGACACATACAAAAAGGAGTGACACAAACAGTAAGAAAACAGACTAGTGCAAAATTTAACAGTACCAAATCCTGAAAATGAATCATTAGGCACGTACACAAAGAAACACACATGGAAAATCACATTTCCTACACAGATGCTATTTATAAAATTTTATATAGGTGAAGAAAGTACGAGTATTAAACACTGAAAATATAAAATATTCACTTACTTTCTTCAAATAATTAGTAACATTCGATGGATTCAGTCACAAACGCCAGTCCACGAACAAACAGTATTCTTTGCGACTTCACCATTCTTTTTCGACCGCCATTGCTGAGTGCTGACTTCACAAATATCCCGCCACAACCGGAAGTAGAAATTGTCTGCTTTGCCATTGGTCAGTGCAACAGAGAATTGCAACGCTTTTTTTTTTTCTTTATAATTAAACATATTAAGAAAGCCTCTAAATTAGCATATGAAATAAACTTACTTTTTGCATTATATAAATTTATATTCACAGCATCTCTGTATTAAAGGTAATAATTCAATTTTTCTACGAAAAATAGAAATGTCTGTGTATGCGCATGCTCAGTGTATAATCGTAAATCTGGTTAATTTTTATAATTTAGCGTTAAAGTTAGCGTAAAATTAACTATGCAAATTTTGAGTTCATTTAACTGGACCCTTGTACTTATTCTGTAGATCTCCATATTAAGAATGTCTTTAACTGTTTCAGGAAAAATATAAAATATAATATAATTATTTATTTACATTATTTATTAATTTTTTCCTCATATAAAAATTATTAAAATCGCTATATCATTTTTTCCGTACATTAAACAAAATTTAAAAAAATTAGCCTCATATGATTTTTATAACAAAGATTAAAGGAACTGAAATATATGTAAAATATCAGGATTCAGCTTGCAATTTCGTAGAGTTATTATTATTATTATTGATAAAAATAAATAAAAATATTAGTATATCTTTGATTATAATTAATGATCCTTTGGTCTACATTAAACTATTGTTCAAGAAGTTAAAAACGTTTTCTAGCATCTTCTGCTGTATTTATTATTCTATTCCTCGACATGAAAGATTTGCTAGTCTTATTCCAATTCAATTGCCCACATTTGCTAAATAAAATAAGGCGAGTATTGTACCAAACTCAGTAAGTACACAAATTTAATATACAGCTTATTCCAGTTAAATGGGTAATAGGATTTTTCATAAAAGAAATTAAATTGTGTAAATTAATATAAGTGTTGATATGAATAAAAATAACAAATTTGATATAAGAAAATAAATAAGTTATTTTGAAGATGTTTAAATTAAGAAAATATAATTTTTTGCAAAAATGCACGTAAAGATTTAGCTCACATGTTAAAATTTATAGAAAAATTTTAGCCTCATATATGAATGCCCCTTTTTTCATGTTCGTGGACAAGGAAAACAAAGTGAAATGCCAGAAATACACTAAATATTTTGAATTAATAAACTTCATTTTCAATCTTTTTAGACTTCGTATAATATCCGTAAAAGTGACGAATGAAATATACCATAAAGGCAGTAGTTTCTTTCAGAACATTCGGATTCGTATAATATGCGTAAAAGTGACGAATAAAAAAATATACCATTCATGGCGGTAGTTTTTATCAGTACATTCGGATTCGTATAATTTTCGTAAAAATAACGTGGAAAATAACGATCAAGAGTCAACAGTAACTTCAGACTTTTTCATTCGTATAAATTTCGTAAAAGTAACGTGCAAAAAATACCATACCCTTATTTCACCAAAATTATACGTATATTTTTGGAGACGTGCTGCCTGGGATACTTCTTCTTAACCTTTAAAACTGATAATTCATCTTTATATATCTTTAGCATATATCTAAATATATAACGGCTTTTGTAATTAAAATAGAACATATGTTTCTCAAAGAATAAGGCTTGCGACACAATAATAACGGAACGCTAACTGGTAACAATAAAACGTTTTTTTTTATGTTACCACTCAGAAAATCTTAATAGTTAAAAAAGAAGTATAAACTATGTTGCCACTACAGTTTCATGAAAAAGCAATATGCAATCTGAAAAATATTGGGCAATTCCGACAAGACAGGAAGTGTGAGAAAGGCTGTTCGATACAACAGGTTTTTCTTATAATTCTTTCAAAAAAGAATGGATAAAAAGGACCGCTGAAACACGTTCAGTTCGAATCTCAACATAGAGAATTAGCTGGATGAATATTTCTAGGGCTTACTTCATGCAGAAGCCAATTTCCATCACAAAGTCCTTGATGAAGACATCTCTCCTCTTAGACAAATAGGCTGAGGGCACTTTAACATATTCCATTAAACAAACAATCATAATTCTTTCAGAACCTTTATTGATTGCACGCCCAGAAATAATTGCGCAGCTTTGCTAAAGTGACCAACTGATTTGAAAGCTTAGTGTTCCTATCCCAGGACGCTAGCATATCTGCATAACAAACAAAAATCAGCGAAATTAACGAAATATTATAAATTAAAAATTGGAATTAATAAATGTAAACTAAGAAAGAATGAGACTGCTTTAATTAATATTCTAGCAAATTTAAATTTTAATAAGCTCTTATCTTTTAACTTGTAAGCATAAATAAAGGTTTTCCGTATTTATGTAAGACGAGAAAGTGCACAATTTTGTTTTCACATTGTAAATAAATTCTCAAGGAAGAGGAGTAGAAAAAATGTAAGATTGGCTCCCAAAGTGGAATATTTAATGTAGAATTGAATGTGGAACCTAAGTGGAAGCTTAATTTGGTTTCTAACCATTTGAACATTCTTTTCATTATGTAAAATTATAAAAACCAGGAACATATGTATAGCAAAGTCTTCTTCTTAGGAAACTAAAATGTCTCAAAAAGTGTATACGTATACGGTATTAATGAAATTTTATTCGTTACTATTTTCTGCTTATCCGCAAAATCGATAAAACTCTTTCTTCTATTCATCAATGAATGATATTAATCAATATCATTCATTGATGAACAGAAGAAAGAGTTTTGCCGATTTTACAGAATTATATAAAGTTTTTTATTAAAGGAAAAATAGTGTTTAAAAATCTTCATTTCCTGTTTCAGATCTACTTGAAAAATTTGAAATTAAGTTACATTATTTGTGATTAATGTAATTTCTTGAGTAAAATATGTTTTAAAATTAATAAATTAATACTGAAATTTTTATAAAGGCGTCGTTTGAATCATGGTATATCAAAATAAATCGTGTACAAAAAGCTCTAGCCTTTTCCTACACCATATTGCATTAAAATATTGCAAAACAGCTTTATCGAAATAAGTCCTTTACGTATGCAGAAATGAAAGACGTTTCATCAGCAGATTAGCATTTCCCTTGAGATGCTTTGAACTACTTTTTATACCTTGTTGCCTTCCTTTTTCTTCAAACAGATATTTAATATCTTTTCTGCTTTCTATCTCAAGCATCAGCAATTGAAATGCAATTCGCGAAGAGTCTCTTTTCAAGCATCAAGTTTAATCTTTCGCCATGGCAACATTCCCAGAGTTCCTGATAACTTCCCTTTTCATTATTGTAATTGTGTACTTATGCTTCACTAATATTTGAAAGTTTTTCAGGGAAAAGGTTAAAGGAAAATGAATTTTAAGCATTATAATTACAACTGAATTTAAAAAAATTCTTTATTATAATTTCTAATGATTAAACCTGATTTGTTTTCAGGTTTCCCTAAATTTTTGTGACATTTTTAAATTACAAAACAATTTTTTTTTTTCCATTGATGAATATTTTCTGAATAAATTTTGGGACCGCTGTAAATATTGTAAATGAATTAATGATATCGGGAACGAAAACGCCGCCTTCTACTTCTGAAGAAGCCATATATGAAATAATCCTGATCTTTGTCAATAAATTTAATAAAGTGTTTCACTACAAACTCAATGAAACAAATTATTTCAACATATTGTTGCGTTTTTCTCTTTTCTGACACCAGTTGTTAAGTTATTTTCTTCCTTCACGTTCGTACGGGGTTCGTGGGGATTTCGAGTGAATAATGACAATACTTCTTGATGAAATATCGAAACACACTTTATTACCAATATTAATCAGAACAGCTCCAAAACACTTTTACAGTCGTCGAAGATATACAACAAACACGCTGGAACATCAGCGACACAGCCTTCACACTGTCAGGCAATAACGGTGGAGAGAGCTGCAAAGCAGCAGAGTACAGCTCCCGACTCTGTTCGGTCGTTCTCGGAACTCCACGTACTCTCGAGACTCTCCACGCTACAACTCGCGATGCACTCGACGACGCGCAGAGAAACACTACGAGACTCTTTCGGTGCACCCGACGACCCACTCGGCACTCGCTGCCCGGCTGTCAACTCGACCGACACCAACTCGATACTAACTAACTCGCACTCCAGACAAGGCACTCTGACACGCCCTCTCGATGAAGCACTCACACTGACTGCGGACCAGCAGGGTTTATATAGCTTTCGGCTTGTGTTCGAGAACATTCTGGGTTAAACCGGTAAGAATTCGTTCCAGAAGGTTCTCCATTCGTCCATGGCATATCGCCAGTTTTGTCCCCAACTGTCGCCAAAGGAGCGATATCTCTCTAAATATGGCAACCCCACCTTCCCTTGCCATTTTATGGCAACCCTAAAACTGCTTTGCGGGGTAGCTATCTCACCGCGCCTGTCCATTTCGTAACAATACTAATGTAGTATGACAAAAGGCAGAAAAAATTTCATTTGGATTTCTAAATATACGCGTGTTATGTTTTAGAACCAAGAGCTAAGATTTCTTTTTAAGCTAATCGTTAGAGTAAATCTACTGCTCTTTTAGATATTTATCGAGGTATTTTTATAAACTGTTTCACAAATTGTTTAATTAAACAAACAACGAGAGTAATGTATTATAAATAAAACTTGTAGAATAAATTCAGAAGTTTAAGAGCTTAGTGCATGTTGAAATTGTCATTGCTAAGAGAGTCAATAATACCATTGCTAAAAGAATTCCGCCTTCTTATCATGCCTTCGTGGTGGTCAGCACACTCGACGCGTATTCGAGGGGTCGGTGGTTCGAGTCCCGACGAGGGGATTGATTGCTCATTTTTCATCTCTTCTTCTTCAAAACACCTAATGTCTCTACAGTGGTGCCCGAACTAAAAAGGTGGTGGATGATGATTTCACACCACCAGGATTTGGTGATTGGGTCCCCTTATCCCCAGTTTCCCTTTGAAATGGGGGGTATATAAGGTATTTGTCCCTCCTTCTTAGCATGAATTC